GCGAGCATTTCGTCATTGAGCCGTTGGATCAAAATCAAATGATCCTCATTTTCCTATTTCTCTCATTTCGTGATACAGCACAACCTTTATCCTTCGCCACCGCTGAGTACCTGTACCCACATCCATTCGGAAGCTGATGGTCCTAGGTTTAATCCTCAGCAGGTTCATGATCGTAATACTAAGGAGTCCCATATTAGGGTGAGGCATCAAATGATGTCATTTGATGGTGACTACCAATCTGAAACCAATAGATTCCACATAAACCTCCAAGTCGGATGACATTCATTCCCATGTGATTATTATATACGAATAAAGTGATGTGGTTTATCCCCATCTACAACTTAAACGCACAACTTTCTGATTCTTGTTAAATGGTTGGTTGAAGGGAAGCTCTAAACTTAGGTTTTGTGCTTGTTGGCATCTGCCACAGGATGTATCTGCAACTCCATGGGGACTGATATCTCCTATGGGATTTGAACCCGCATCACCCAGTGTTGCAGTTACTGATGTTGTCACTTAGCTATTCTTATTCTACCTCAGTGAAATTTGATCAATATGCTTAAATATTGCAAATTGGGACTAATTTTCACTACCTACAAAACTCGACTTTGACAGTCAATATTTTACATCACTATACATATTTCATAATTTTGTCCACACTAGACTGTTGACACAATAGAAAAAATGACAATTTTTCTAACTAAAACTCGACTGAATTAACTTTGTTTTTACTCTGACGTAGAGGTGGGTGAAGTGTTAAATTATTGAAAATGAAATGACAATTTCAATTATCCACAAAACGTTTTACTTGTTGTTATTTCGCAGGTACAGGTGAAAGTTGTTTGTGTATGATTGTTCAAGAATAATCGATAACCAGTTAAAGAAATGATGTTTGTTTGAGATTTTATATTCGATGTAGTGTTCATCATATACTGACATCAATAGGAGAATCATTGAAAACCTCGGAGCACTGGATAACTGTGTCATCCTAGTACAGGAATAAGCGTCCACCGCCCGTCTGTGGGGGGAGGAGGTCGAACTCATGGCCCTCAGTTTTCACCCCGAAAGTGTTAACTGGGTTGGAGTTCAGTGGTTCACAGTTTCCAAATTCTGCCAGTTTACGATATAGCTCGACTATCACCGAAGGTCTTCATTTAACATCCGCCTCTCTCCTTACATGTCTGACCCCACAGACTACGGCTACTCATTAGAATTTCAGGATATCCATCTGGAAGCATGTCACTAATGAGCGCTATGGAGTAATGTATTTCCCGATGAATGGAGACTTCGATTTTGAGGCAGGATTCGACACGGAGTGACATCAGTGCCATATAGTGGTTATTAATGATATGCTTCTAGATGGGGTCGAACGAACAGGAAGGGAAATGGATGTCAATTGAAGATCTTGGGTGATAGTCGAGCTATATCGTGAATTGACAGAAGGTGGAAACTGTAAATCATTGAACTCTGGACATTAGCTAGGTGGTTAACGCGTGCACGGTGAAAACTGAGACTCATGAGTTCGACCCCGCAGCTAAGGCGTGGGTGCATATTTCTTTACTAGGATGAAACAGCTGTCCATTGCTTCCAAATTCTCAATGGTCCCCCAACTGACTTCACTTTTTGATGAATGCCACCATACAACTTTTATGTCTGCCCAATGGTGATGTTCACATGCACCAGTCACTGATTTCTAATATTCTGATGACCAAACCAGTTAGTCTACACCTCTCCATATGGCTGATACTGTAAATCTGAGTCATAATAGGTTGGTGATTTGTCCGAACTTGGCTGCTATAGTTTTATTTCATCTTAGTCAAACTTCTTGTTCATACATTCCGAATCGAGTTCACTCAGGAATACTAGTCAGGTTTCCAGTTTGTGTGGGACAACAGGCTCACAGGAAGTGACATATATCTATGTATCTAAGTAAATAAAGTTTGTGTTCATTTCTTATTGTTTAAAGTTTCTGAGATTCTTACAGTTGCAAAGTGGATGGACATATACTTGAAATTCTGTCTATGGCAATTTCCATGTCACCCTCCCCTCGGACGCACAACTCCTGGTTTCCCCTGTGGATTCCACTCGACGGCCTGGCTTGGCGCGTGATGTCCCCAATCGGCCTTCTCAGTGTATGCCCAATCCAAACCGGATACTTAGAAAAAGTTTAGGGGATACACCATAGGACCTGGTATCCATAAACGATATAATATTGACGAACGGAGCACTATCCTGAATGGTTATCAAGGGGAGAATCTAAATCAATTAACAGTTCAATTCTTGAACAGTTGGTCAACTCTGGACACAAAGCTAGACCAGAATCCTCCTTCAATGTCATTTATCATATCAGATGGAATAGTTCAAAAGGAGTACGCCTTCGACAGTTGTGCACAGAGGAGGCACTGGCAATTCATCAATTCAAGCCTGATCTCTGCGTGCAAAAGAAGCATGTTCAGTCTCTCATCTTACCATGGTCTGAACACTTTCATTTTTCTCGATTTCATTATAATTAATTAATTTATTAATATTACCACCTTCATTATGACCCTTGTCTCATTCTTCACCTTTTTTACACCTATTTATCAAGTGGACACTCAGTATTTGCGTTTCTTATCTACCAACAACTTTCACCTTGTCAAACTCCTTGCCTTCCCTGATATTTCTACTGTCTTAGTTTATTACGCAACTGCTTTGCATTCTTGATTCAGGTTTTTTTAGCACTAGGTTAATGATGTAGTTATACCCTATTGTTTTATAATAGACTACTGTAGTATGTTTATGATATACACATGAATACAATTGTACAGCTTTAGAAGAAGGATATCGTCGAAAAAGAAAATTTTCTTTGCTGAATTATCTCTTCTCTATTGACGAACGTGTTGAAGATTGTGGAAATTAAGACGGTATTTTCTCTTACCCGCATCTTGACTGGTTGGTAATTCACACTACTACTAGTAAGCTTAAAGGAGACCACGCCATCAATGACACTCTCCAAGAGTTCTTACTGTAGCGTTAATCTATGGTCATACCATGCTGGGAACTGCTTATCAATTATGCCCCATTATGGGGATTAGGGTTATATTTTCCTGAAAAAGTTGTTCTAACACTGAGTTGAAATTATCTGGTTTGTGCTGTCATTAGAAGTATGAAGTTTGTTTAGAAATACGCATCCTGGATTCCACTGCTAGTGGCTATCCATCTTTACCACAAGAGCATATCAATTCAGTATAACATCCAAGTGTGTCAACTGCCGTGAACTATTCAACATTTCTATTTCATCCGAAGTGTTAGGTTTTTCGGAATTGATATTTCAATCCTCACCTTCTTTGTTTGAATATACACAATCTAAGCAAACGCCTGGTTTGAATAATCTTTCATTAGCCTAAACAATATGACTTAGAAATTATTTGATGCCGTTATGGTTATTTAGTACTTGAGTTTAAGAAGTTAGGTCAGTCAAAGTATAATGGTACTTGACTGGATCTTACAAACTAATGGAGATAGCAAAAGAAAATGTAATGGGCTTACTACAACCAGACTATGAAATGCTTGAATCCCCAGAAAGTTATGAAGTTGAGGGCGAACTATGTAATTAAAGTAAAAATGGAGTAGGGCGATGAAGACGATGAAAATGATATCACTATGAATAAAACTATCATTCATATTTATCCGGTTTGGCCACATACAAAAACCTATTTTAAGTGTAATGCCATGTTGTGGAGATTGATTGCTCACACAGTTATTTTCATTACGGACTAGAGTTATTTGGAGAACTATTGAATTATGGTTACACTAGACACCTGTCACCTCGTAATTTGGGACATTTAAGTAGTATGCACTGATAACCTCAAAAGGAATGAAGTTCAGGATTGCCATCACATTGAGAACCAGTGTAACACAAATGGTTTTCTACTACCGTAAAATTCATGATATACCATGGCTATTACCCAGTGCAGGTGGATGGTCTTGGTTGTATTGTGTTCTCTGAGCTGGGTTGTTTAATTGTGAAGCTTTCATCGTCCTTCTAGACAACGACATCATCAGCACTAACTTGAGTATGAAGTGAGCTGTCAATATCTCTCTGTGAGTGATTTAGTAGCTTGCTGTGACGATGTGGTCTGTGATTGGTTGTTTCCTTCGATTGTTGTGTCATTGACTGTATACAGTCAACCCAACTCAGAGAACACAATGCAACCAAGATTATCCAGTGCCATCAGAATGTATTTTGTGAAAATTTTAACCGTCATCACCCCATTTATGCTTATCAGTGGGAGACGGTAAAACGTTGAGAATAGTCATGTCACTCTGTGTATTTTGTGTTGACCATAGACTAGTATCATATGAGGACCAGTGAAAAATTCTGAGCACTGATGAGGTGCCTCGTTTTAGTATGCGGTTCCTTAGTTGCATGCAACCATAACCCCACCCGCAACCTCCGGATCTCGTGGTGGGTAGTCTTACCGTTCAGCCACTTACTTAAGGTCGTACGATCCACAGTTTTGCATTTCTTCTAGTTTTCTACTATCCACCAGGATCTTCATTTCAAATCCACTTCCCTTCCAACTGGTTCACTCTACAGGTCATAGCTTTTCACAAGAACTTTGAGATATCCATTTGGAAGCTTGTCACTAATGAGCACTGAACAGTAATGTAGTGGTCAATCCTACTTCAACAATATAATCTCGATAAATCTCAACCAACAATTTGTGTATGTGTTCGCATAGTGGAGACTCACTGAAATCTTTTGAGAGTACTACTTCAAGTTTATATCTACTTGTGACGCCCACATTCCCTAGTCAGTTTTCCTAATTTTTCGGTGGAATACATCTCTTCCTACCAACTTAAATTATAATATCAGCAATAGTGATGGTAACATGACAATTGTAGCAATCATAAACCATTGGAAAGGGTGAATAATTTTTCTAAGCCCTGTGATTGGTTGAAAACTAATTGAAGAATTTTACTGGGATAAACATATATCAACACGTATGTATGCATGCATGTGTTGTACATTGTACATCGGTAAATAGTTTAGTTTTGATTACTGTATTGTTATTATTATTATTATTATCATTACTACACCGCTTAAAAAAGGCGAATAAGCAGAAACAATCATGTCTGAAAGACACCAACAAGTATGACCTGTTCATCTAATATATTACGAGTATCTTTTTATGAACCACTTTTCGTAATATCCTCAAAAGACTGAGAACTAATTTTCAGATTACGAAGATTCCAGTTTATGCCTTTTACAGAGATATCCTCTTCATCTTAGTTACCTTCAAAACGTGGAAATTTTAATGTGAATTACATAACTACGATAAAAACTTGGACAAAATATATACTTATGTAATGCTGATTACAAGTCATTCCTTTTTACAGTATGATAATTCATTATTTAATTAAAACGCTCCTTTCTTGGAAATAATTTTAACTGAAATTCAATCATTTCAAAATAAGGAAACCTCACGTAAATTGATCCAGAGAAAATCATGACCGAACAGATTACATTTCATCGTACCTCGACAATAAGACATCGTGCCAGTAGAAATGGCTCATTGATTCAACATGATAATACAACAGGTGGTACTGTTACCACTGGAAGTATGATTGTTCAAGGAGGTGGAGGCGGTGGTGGCAGTGGTGGTGTTGCTGCTACTGCCGGTGGTGTTGGTGGTCTTCAACCGCAGTCAAGTGTAAGACGACCATCAATTATGCAAAAGTATATGGGTGAAATTGAGTTCACAGGATTAAATCAGACAGCCAGAGTAAGTTATTGATTGTTCATGTTATATACACATTTTTTTGCTTATTGGTTTACCCAAGTCTAAAGAGCACCGCTGCTTTGAAGTTTTACATCAGAAGCTAAAATTTTCTAGATTATCAGTCGCAGCTTCCTAGATGAGCCTATTTAGTGAACTGATGTGTATAAAGATGAGAAGACCGGACGGAAAAGGAAGTCTGGATGTACTAGGGATTCGAACAAGCATGCCCCCACGGTACTGACACAGTTTCTTCACATTGTCTACCATACTTTTGATAAGGCAAGTGGAAGTAGGGCTTGATTACCGCTGAGGTCTGTCTGTTATCTCAAAGGATGGAAAACTGTTCCACTTACCCTATAATATAGCCCCTTATCAAATCATTCTGTGAACTAAACTTTCTTTCAACTTTATTTATCTCTACATAAGTTAATCAGCTAACCGAGTAATCTGATCTCTGTTAGTCCAAAGATTGGTTGGTTGGTCAGTAGGTGGCTCTGATTCCCAACTAGATTGAAGTGAACAGATTTGACCGGTTATTTGAAGTTATTAAATGACGAAGTGTTGCACGCCTATGGGTTAAGGGAAAGCAACACGAAATAATTGACCTGAACAGCTAACTGACTAGAATAGGATGCAAATAGTTCAGCTGGTAGCGTGTCTAACACGCGTTGCCGAAGTAGTTGTTTTCAGTGTGTTGTTTTTTTCTGATTGCAAAATAGGTTTATTCAGTATATCAACAAGAAAACTGACCATAAATTATCAGATAATTATTTTATATCAATCATTATATAATCAATGAAGAATTATCTCAGTGTTATGTTTTTCTGAGGTGACAAAAGTCTGTTACTTAAGCAGTATAACACAGCTACTAAGGCAAAGAAAAATGTGACATAGTCCTGTATATTGTGTCTGTTTTTGACTACTTAAAATTGGACAACAGTATGTTCCTAATGTCATCTGGTAGTGAGGTGAAACATCCCACTAATTTATACTAAAACTTCAACTAAGAACTAATGTCATACCTTTTTATCCGCTGTTTGAAAGATTTTCATCCAAAAAAATTATCTTATCATGCAATAACATATTGTCTAAATACTCGAACTTTTCAAATGAAAAGTTATAATTTACTTCTATTTAAATCGATCATTTTTATACTATTGATGGATAATGGCTTCGAACAGAATACAGAATTCGCATTTCATCCTGTTTAAGACTCGTCAGGTGGATGTATCTACCTTCTACTGAGTTCAAGCTATGACTCGAACTTACAGCCAACAGCTTCAAACACCAAACGCCTCTAAATCACTATAGTCACACTTTGCACAATGCACATTGAATAGTTGTGATGTTATTGCATCAAAATATTCGGTCTATATTGACATATGAGTTCTTAGGCAGGTTACTGGATATTGTCGGTATTTTCTACCCTGATATTAATACTGAATGGTGATTGAAAATTATATGAAACTTTTGGCAGTGAGAGGATTCGCACCAATGGTTATCGAGTTTTTTATCTGGTGCTCTACTAATTGAGGTGTGCTACTTGACTGTTAACCAAAGGTCTTGGCCGACTGCCATGTGAATACATGACGTGCTACTACTGCTTGATCGTATTCCTAATCTGAAACTATTTCAGTAAGAGAGGGACAACATCGTTTTGATTGTATATTTGACTATCTGAGATAGTTGTCGTTAAGCAGACTCTGATATTATGAATGAATTATGCACCATATACACCAGTGATTTGAAGACTTGATTATGACTGCTACCTAAACTATTCAGTAGTAAATTGGTTGGTTGTGGTTAGCGGAAGAACCCAGGGCAAGCTTCTCGTCCTATTTAGGACTCGTCAGCTGGATGTATCTATACCCCAGTGATGTTGTCACCACTGGGACTCGAACCTCGTACCCCGATAGTTTCAAACGCCAAGGCGTTATCCACTATGCCACGGAGGGACGATAGCCACTTCTTGTACAACGGGTAGTAGTTATTACTATTTATTGATATACTTGTTATTTTCCGTTGTTTTGTTGGGTCGTATTGTTCGACCTCTATTGGCATATTGATAACGCCTTGGCGTTTGAAGCGAGGGGTACGAGGTTCGAGTCCTAATTGGGAACAACATCACTGGAGTGCAGGTACATCCAGCTGACGAGCCCCAAATAGGACGAGACGCGCGTACTGGATTCTTGTGCAAGCTACAACCAACCAATTTATCATAATTAACATTCAGGCAATATTGAGGCATCCTTATAGGAGCCTATATTGCCAATAGAAGTCGATCAATTCGACCCAACAAAATATTCAGTAGCCTAATAAGATTATCACTTATGATTTTAAAATCTTAAAACTTTAAAGTAACATATTCATTAAAAAAATATTTCCAATGAATAAAAAGCAGAAAGAAAGAAGAATAATTGAATAATTATTTAGTTATAATTATGCAAAATTTATTTCAAACATTGAGGATAATATTTGACCAACACGCACTAACATACAAGCCTATATTCAGAACACACTGTAATAGTGTAAAAACAAAAAAGATGTTTTTTTTTAACCGATTTTTCTTTTTTCCTTCAGAAATATCTTCGAAATTTTCTTGTTTATTTGTTCATTTGTTACTTTTTAATTGAAAGAGGAAAGTGACGGTGAGGTAGAAAGAAAAATGTACTATACGATTTAATCTATGCATAGGATAACATTATTTTTAAGGTTAAAAAAAAACGTATTATATAATAATTATATCTATTCTCTTCTATTTCTATTTTAATGAATGTCAGGGTCGAAAATATTCTACAACACAGTAGTATACTTATGACCTCGAAAGAATTTTCAATTCGTGTCTTTATAAGCTGAAGTAAAAAAGAAAAGTTATAAATTGTATTGTAACTAGTTGAATCTATGTGTGTAGTACAAAAATTGGGAACCGTTCAAATTCCAGACTACTGACCTATATATATATATATATATATATATATATATATATATATATATATATATATATATATAACAGAATTAAAATGATTTGTTTCGATGTAACAAGTGTTTATGCTAAAATACTAATCAATATTGCACTGGAGGTAGTCAGAAATGAACTAATTACCGACTCAAAACTTACTCACAGAACTAAGATATTGACTGATGAGATCATATTAGATATCTAGGCTTAAAGTTATCTCATTCAATGTCATTTAAAGCAGGTTTAGTCAAATATTTAAATGATACAGCTAGAAAACTAACTAGTCATAAAAAGATCTAAACAAGGAATAGCAGTAATGGAGAATATTTGTAGCTCAGATGGATGGTCTTAGTTGTATTGTGTTCTCTGAGCTGGGTTGTTTAATTGTGAAGCTTTCATCCTCCTTCTAGACAACGATATCATCAGCACTAACTTGAGTATGAAGTGAGCTGTCAATATCTCTCTGTGAGTGATTAAGTAGCTTGCTGTGATTGGTTGTTTCCTTCGATTGTTGTGTCATTGACTGTATAGCCTTTCCTGTTAACTGTTCCTCTGCTTGACACTTGATCTTTCTGTCGTTTATCATTCTTCTCACTGTTCCGTTGATAGATTGAGTCTATGTTTATACATCTGTTGATTGCCGACTGACTGACTGACTGACCTGAATGCCAAGCTTCTAGGAATTCTCTGATATTCTTTGTGTTTCCTCTCTCCATCCAAAATTTGTACATTGTGAAATTTGAATTCATGTCCATAGTGGTTATCCTCATGCATTGAAATGAGTGATGAAGTGTCGTCACGTTTAATAGCAGATTGGCGCTCATGTAGACGAAGGTGAAGAGGGCTATCACTTTGTCCATTATAGTGTTGACTACAGTTATTGGAGTTGATTTTGTAAATGATATTCGGTTTGTCTTCTTTGGTTGTTGCATCCTTTGCTCTGCATAATGGTGTTTGGAGTGGATTTATTGGTCAACGAGTGGCCACACCAATTCCAAGTGGTCTCAGCAATCTTGTTGTCATTTCCGATACATTCTCCATGTATGGTAGTGCGATGCGTCTATTGATTTCTGTCGATGACTTTTTAGTTGGTGATGTACGGGATAGGCATCTTCTGACAAAGTTTCGTGGGTAGCCGTTCTTCTTTAGGATGGACATCAAGTAATTTCTTTCGTCTCTCCATGAAATTGTTGTACTGCAGTGTGTTCTCGCTCTTCTGAATAGAGTCTGCATGCAACTGATCTTGCGAGTTGTTGGGTTGTTGCTACTGTAGTTGAGGACTTGGTCAGTGTGTGTTGGCCCACTGTACACTTGGGTTTCCAGCTTTTCGGTATTTGTCCTACTGACTAAAACATCCAGGAATGGTAGTTGGTTGTTTGACTCTTTCTCCATTATGAACTTGATGTCACTGAAAACGTTGTTGATCAAACTGTGGGTGTTTCCTACATCGTCCTTTTTAAAGATGACAAAAGTGTCGTCCACATAACGAATCTAAATTTTTGGTTTGATCACAGGTAGGATGATGGCTTCCAGTCACTGCATCACTGCTTCTGCAATAATCCGGATGTCAGTGGTCCCATTGAAGTTCCTCTCATCTGTCTGTATATCTCGCCGTTGAATTGGAAGTATGTTGTCATACAAAGGTCGATGAGTTCCATCAGACTTGGACATTTGAGTTTTGTGAGTTCTGTAAGGTTTGTGTCTTCATTGAGCAGAAGAGATATCATTTTCTTGGCCAATCAGGGTTCGATGGATGTGTATAGTACTGTGACATCAAAGGATACCATCAATTCATCGTTTTCAATGTTATTGTCTTTGATCTTTTCTATGAATTCTGTTGGTGACTTAATGGAATGTCCGCATGATTGGATGAGGTGTTTCAGTTTTCTCGAAAGTTCTCTTGATATGTTGTATGTTGTAGTTCCAGGAAGTGAGACTATTGGTCGTAGAGAGATATAGGGGTTTGTGTAATTTTGGTCTACCGTAGAACCAAGGAAGGACAGGTCCATTCGATTTCATACGACATTTGTCTTGCTTTGTTATT